TACGATGCTGAATTAGGTACCGCACAGCTGTGATAGAGCCTCTCGAGTATAAGAAGATCTTTCTACTCTGCTCAGGATCTTGCATCTGCACAGGTCAACGCAAAGCCATACAACAATTCTGACTTCAATCGTCCACCCACTCATCAGACTTGCGTTACCATCGCGAAAACTAATCATGAAGACATTCACTATCGCCGTAGTCTCCTCCATCCTTGCCCTCACCACCGCTCTCTCTCCACCCTACGAACCCCCCTGCGACACATGCGTCCCAACCCCCGACCAGAACAAATGCGACATCACCACCTCCTGCACCTACATCTGGGGCCACAAAAACCCCCATACGCCCGGTCCGAATTATTGTGCCTGCCGCCATGGGTATCGTACGTCTCTTCCCACCACCATCGCCGCTCCTTCATCCACTCTCCGTCATCTCTCCAGTGATAAAACCGGCTGACACCCAACAGGCGCAACAGGCTACGAAGCGAACGACTTCGAGGTCCAATGGCGTTTACCTTGGTATGGTATTCCAAATGGCGACCCGAGCCAGGAGGGTAGGGTGTTTGTGAAGCCGGGGGTGGAGTGTAATACGCTTTGCGGTGATTGGTATCTTGGGAAGGATGGATGTAAGGGCGTGCAGGTGAAGGGGTGGTGTATGTAAGGATCGATGAGAGAGAGAGACAGAGAGATGGGTTAGTGGCTTTCGGGTGGGCAGCCAAGTCGATGTGATTAAAGCATTGTCGCCAAACTCGTGCGACTGCGTTCGCGAAATGTGAAATTCTCGATCCCTTTTCTCTTGCGGAGCGAATACCACGTGCGCTTTGGCGAAAGTGCGAATAGGTGCATAGGCATGCAGACTGCCTCTTGATCCACGAACCTACGCGCGGCCCTTTTGTGACTTCTTAAGTGCGGTTTGCCGCTTGGATCTTGCCTCGGTGTATCGATTTAAATCATGTCTTGCTTGCTTCATCCGAATCCGCTCCCGCTTAAGTTGCTCGTCTTTCTGGGCAAGGAGAAGGCTCTCAAGCTTGGCGAGCTTATCCTCGTTGCTCTTTATCATGGCCTCTTGCTGAGAAATGAGGAGACTCTCAAGACTGTCGAACTCGGCCGATTCGGCTTTCCTCTCAGCCTTGTTCTCTTCAGTCTCAGCTTCATCTATATCAACACTAAGCTTTCCAGGATGAAGAAGTCCGAATATCTCGGCGTCTTCCAGATCTTGCTCGATTGCTCTCCGGCCGACCTCTTCGTGGTATCGATCTACCTGCGCTCGAAGGTGTGGAAAACGTCCATTCAAGGATCCAAAGAGTTCCGCAGAATGATCTAACTCGTACTTCTTCTGTAGTGTTCGTGCTTCTCCCTTAGCCATTCCAGGCGAAAAGATCCCAAGTCTACCAGCACGCTTTCTTTTGGAGATGAGTCGCACTCGTTTGAAGTTTCTTAGGTCCTCTTCCTCGCGCTCAGCAAGCTCGTCGAAAGTTCTCTTTCTACTGCCAGCGTCCTCAGCTTCTGGTCGCAGTTTGGACTCTCGTGTATGCTGATCTTCTCGTAACGGATATTCCTCGTCCTGAATCACAGTGATCCTCCGGAATCGGATTTGACAATTCGTGCATTCTATCTCAGCATCGCTGGAATACGTCGAACTAATGAAGCATCCTGGACAGGTAGTGCTACTGCTCTCGCTGGCATCATACTGATTAAAGACGAAGCTCATGTCGATTCGCTGACCAGGTATAAAGGCAGCGTGCCATGGACGCGATAGCTCGATCTCTCTTCCCGTACCGTTGGCTTGTAAGGCGTATTGCCTTCGTCCAACTTTCATATGGCCTGGCATGTTCTGGAATCGCAGCTCAAGCACAGAGTGGAAGGCATCCCAAGAGGTGATGAATTGCAGATGGACAGGTGCGATACGACCCATGGGGTCGTCCAGTATTATTGGCTCTTCGAACAAGCTTCGTTCCAGGTGACTGGGGAGCGAATTCTGCAGACGCATAACAGCACGGTAAGTTGCAAAGTTGATCGTCATCGCGCCTCGTATCATGCCTTTGAGCTCAGAACCAAGCTTTCGGAGCCAATCTAACTTGAGTGCTTCGGATACATTCCCCAATATCGAGTTGGCAGCTTCGATATTGCGGTTAGCATTCTCAATGCCGTCTTTGATGTCTAGAAGTGATGCATCATGCAAGAGCGTCGCCGTGTCGTTCCTGCGCTTTGCTTCGTCGAGTTTGTCATTCATCTCTTTTCGACTCACCCCAAGTAACGTGCTATACAACATCAGCATCAGCTCTGACAAGGATAAGTATGATACTTACACATTGGCCGTGATTAACAACATCTGCAGGCTTGATGTCGTCCCCGCGATCTCTGCGCGAAACTGCTCCAGCGCTTCTTTCTCCCCAGTCCTCCAACCAATAGCTCTTCCAATTTCTCTGACCCTGTTCACTTTGCCGACTTCAAAAGTGCGCTGGTATCCCTGGATGCGCTTCTTGTAGGCGCTAACGCGGTCATTGCATCTAGCTACGGCTTGCTTTGCTGTTTCGCAGAGACTCCGTAACCCAGGCGTAGCTCCATCCCCATGCTGTCTAGTAAGCAGATCGATTTCGAGGAGCGTACGGTCGAGAGTCCAAAGCTCGCGTACGGCGGCCTGGTACTCTGCTTTGGAGCCGCGAGCCTCGTCGAGCGCTGCGACTAGATCTTTCACAAGCAAAACGACAGAGATGATGTCGCCTACGGCACCGAATGTGACCGGCATGGCAATATAACAACAAAACTTTAGGAGAATGAGATGATAATGGTATAATGAAAGTGTTGAAACTTCTTGAGAGATTTCATCTGACCCCGCCTGAATGAGGCTGCACAAGATGGCTGAGTCGCTAAGCCTCCACGAGGTCCAGCCAGTAACATGTCACACATACCACGCCACTTCATGTCGCGACTGCCTGCCGATGCGGCACAGTTGCCAAGACCACATCCCTTTAGTTTGACCTCACCTCACTCTGAGACGAATAACCACTCTCAGTGTCCGACTTCTTCTCATCTGTACGCACCTTGAAGCGGTCGGTCTTTTCATCAGCCCAGTGTGGACGCGCATCGAATGCGAACTGCAGAATCTCTGGACGCTGGTAGTGACCTGCCGCATCGATCCACACCTTTACCGATCCCATGTGCGAGAAGTCAATCTCGCCCTGCACCAACTTCTCCTCCCCGCCCGTGTGCGGACCAGCGATGTACGAGCAGAACGGATGGAGGACAGAAGACCAGCCGCCGCCAGCCTTGACGAGGTCCTGTTTTCCAAGGTTCTCTTCCATCCAGTCGAGGCACTGTTGGTCGACGTAGTTGGAAGCAGTGATGACGAAGACTTGGGCAGTCAGGGCATGGGCCTTCATCAACGCCTCGATCTGCGCATCGGCAACGGCTTCGAAGCCGGCCATGGTGGATAATGCCGGCCAAGCTCCCGCATGAATGTGCTGGTTCTGTGTGATAAGGGCCTGGCGTGCGCCGTTCATGGTATGCTCCCAACACGCGAGACCTCCGAGGTTGTACCCGAGCGTCAATGGCCAATTGCGCAATGTGCTGCCGTTGCCCTGAGCCCACACCATGCGCTCGACATAGGTTGGCTGGAGCTTCCGATGAACACCGAGTATAGTGCCGTCACTATCGATAATGACTTGGGTGTTAAACAGCGTATAGCCGTTGGCGACACGTTCGCAGACGCCCAGGTTGATGGCTACACCGGTCCTGCGACAGGCATCCTGGATGGCACTCACATCCTCTCCGTTCGGCTCCACCACGACGCTCTCTTCGGCGTATTTTGCCAAAGCAGCGACCTGCTTTAGGGGTGGGTAACATTCAATCCAGTACTATGGTAATGTTAGCATGAGCCCCATCGTACAAAGTTTGAGATTAACAGCCGATGCACGTACAGGATAGCCAGGAATGAACGTCTCAGGAAACACTAAGAGCTTGATGTCGTCCTTTGCAGCCTGTTCGATGAGGCGGATAGTCTTCTTGATGGTGGCGGCTTTGTCCATGAAGACAGGCGCCGCGTGTGCGGCAGCCACCTTGAACTTGGTTTCCTTGGGCGCCATCGTGTTGCAGTACGATAATGGGGTTTCCTAATCGATGGACTGAGTCAAGACTGACAGGCTGTTGAAACTGCGGAGAAGATAACTGTCGTGGACCCAGATTTCTTTGTTAAGGTTGCTTGCTACCCGCCAAGCTCGCCGCTCCGGCACGGTCACCGTACGGCAACCGCTGCGGCACGTCGTTATCTCCCGTGTCGTGTAAAGGTCCGATTGCTCAACTGCCAGCCATTCCCGCATCGCAAAACAATGCAACTCCACGCGAAGATCGTGTTTGTCACAGGCTAGTGCGCATCAGGTACCCGGCTAGTCACACCACGCGTTCTCGCAGCCATGTGAGCCTACACAAACGCGGCTAGCGTCGACTCCATTTCTCACCGAAACCGGCACTCCCCCCGAAAACACTGGCATTCACTCGTTGCACAATCGGTGCGATTACGATGGAAACTAATCCGAGTGGATATAGGGTTGCACGGCCTTATGGGTTCACTGCAATAAATGCATTTCGTGACACAGAAATCCGCCGAGTGAATGGGGGGTGCAGAACCCAAACGCCTGCACGGCGATAATACAGCTTGCTCCTCTGCGTGAAATCCCGTTGTGCGATTCTCTGACACTTCGCAACTCATCCTGCGTGATCCCGACGACAACCGGCTTTCGACATGGCGTTCGATTACTTTGCAAACCCTCCTCCCGGACTGGACTTGACCGAGTCCCGCACTGCCTCCAATAATGCTATCGGCGTTGTACTTTTCGTCCTTTCTCTCGTTTTCGTGGGCTTGCGCCTCTACACTCGCTTGCATGTAAAGCGTGAGCCGCTAGGTCTAGATGACTATCTTATGTTTCTCGGTCTGGCGCTGAATGCGGGCAACCTGGCATGCTGCATTGCAGGTAGAGCAATCAATCACGCGAGATCAACGATAGATGCTAACATCTAGGTTAGGCGGCTTCTATGGTCTTGGCAAGCACATATGGTCGTTAGGGCCGTATGAGATGCGACAAATCACAATAGTACGTTGTGAAGTCCCCGACCACACGAGTAACGCAGCGCTGACTAGAGCAAGATCACGTTCGCCTATGTCTTCATCTACGCATGGAGTGTATGCATCATCAAGTTCTCAATCCTGGCGCTGTACCGTCGCATATTCGGCCTCTCATACTTTGGCTATTTCTGCATCGCTCTCACTACAGGCTATCTCATCACAAACCACATCGTCCTGCCGCTCTACACGCGACCACTGCATTATTACTGGAACCAGTGGTACGGAGATAAAGGCGTGGTCCAGGTAGACGAGGCAAAGGTGAGACCACTCCAAGACCGAGCTGCAACAGCGACTGATCAAGATGTAGTTCTATCTCGGTGTCGGCATCATCAACCTTTTCGGCGATGTGTGCATCCTTACGATACCCATAGCGAGCGTGCTTAAGCTTCACATGGGACGGACCCAGAAGGTGGCAGTCTGTCTCACGTTCCTGCTCGGTAGCTTGTACGTTGCAGTCCTACGTTAGTTCTACGACAAAGTTTCGCTAACAAGTACAGCGTCTGTTTTGCTTCGCTCTACCGCATCATCACCATTACCCACCTCGTCCAGTCGAAAGACATCAGCTGGGCAAAGAGCGACGTCTTCATCTGGTCCTCCGTAGAGCCTTCCATCGGCATCATTTCCGGATGCTTACCCACGCTGCGACCGCTCATGATGAAAGTGATCAACGCACTCTCGACCCGCCTGCCATCCTCCTTCAAATCATCACAGCATTCTCAATCATCCGGCCCCTCGCTGAACCCTCTCGAAACGATATCCAAGAAGCGCACGCGCAAGATCAACCTCAAGGATACGTTGGGAGACACGATTAACAATGACACTCGGAGCCAGTGGGGCAAATCGCGATTGGATGAAGACGAAATGTGTCTCACGACAACGACTGTGCATGGGGAGTGCCCGGGTACTGCCCTGTGCAAAGAAGGCAGTGTGACCACAAGCGAGCTCTCGCAGAGTATGAGGAGAGAAAGAGGTATTACTATGACGAAAGAATTCGCATGGGATGAGGGAACGCATGACCAAAGCCCAGACAACAAGGTCTAGACAAGTAGTAAAGCGATCGCGCAATCCACTCCTACTTAGCTATCGATCGTATCCGCACCAGGCAACGGAAACAGGACTTGGACCAATGTGAATACCCCATCAACGCCCACTTCCAAGCACGCCGCCCCCGAAGAACCTCTTTATAGTCCAAACCATCGGCGAGATTGGATACCGTCCGGAAAATATTGCGTATTAGAATGCGACGCGTCGCGGCCTCTTGAAGGCAGCTGACACGACCAACGGGTTGGGTAGCGACTATGGCGGCAGCCTTTACTGGACCACGCGTACGGCCGACCGATCGCATACGCTAGAGTGTCTGACGAACTCGGGGTAGGTGGTGAGGATCGAAAACGGCTTGGAAAGGAACGCGACGAATGCGACGGGACGGGACGCGTAGCTGTACGGGGAACATACTAGCGTGGCCGATCTATGAGCAAGCGCGACTGGGTGACACCCTGACAGCCCATGCAATGCATTCTCTACCTTACTTTTGATCTTGATGTCTAGCAAACCTGAAGTGAATTATCATGGATGACGTTGTTCATCTTCGAAATTTGTGCCTGCAGCCATAATCCTGTCTTATGGCCGAATATGGTATAGCGTTTTTGCACTCTCGTCGATCATCCCGGTGTTTTGCACGTTGCGGCCACACATCTTCCCGGCGGAGATAGTTGTCGCAGCAGCACCACCACCTTGGAGAGGCGCCACAACAAGCCTGCCTTTTCGTCCGAATTGAAAAATGGCAATGGTGCGTCAGGTATATAAGAGGCACTGTGCAAGTGCAGAAACTGAGATGTCCATATCAACGCAACTCGCGACTAAAGCCTCAACATGCAAGGCTTCAAAGACTTCGACCCTGCAAAGGACATTGGTGATCTTTCTGGCAAAGTCATCTTAGTGACCGGAGGTGAGTGTACTTGTTGCTCGTCGTTGACATTCTTCTGACAGTCATATTAGGCACCGCAGGATTAGGAGAGGAAAGTGTGCGAGCACTGGCGGCGCACAGTCCATTACACATCTACTTCACAGGCCGCAATGTCACTGCAGCGAATGCACTGATCACCAACATCAAAGCCAAGCACCCAAAGGCGTCGCTGAGCTTCATCAAGATGGATCTCTCGTCCCTTTGCGCAGTCAAAGAGGTCATCGCTCAAGAGTTCAAACATGACCGCCTCGACATACTGATGAACAACGCCGGTATCATTGCTAAGCCAGCAGTCTTGAGTACCGATGGCTACGAGATTCAGTTCGCGACAAACCATCTCGGTCATGCGATGCTCACCAGAGAGCTGATGCCCATCCTGCTCAAAACAGCCAAAGAGCCCAGTTCAGACGTGCGTGTCATCAGCAACACATCCGCCGGTTACGAGTTCCATCGCGCTATCAAAGGTGGCATTTCCTTCGATGAGCTTGACGCTGGAAGCACGATGTCCCGGATGCTGCTAGGCGCATGGATCCGTTATGGACAGTCCAAACTCGCAAATATCCTCTTCGCAGCGGAGCTCGCACGTCGGCACCCCGAACTGACGTCTGTAGCCATCCACCCTGGACTCGTCAAGACGCCCATGAATACCGATATGGCGGGCTGGAGTAAGACGTTCGTCAACGTAACGTCGCGGATATCGGGCGAGAGGTGGCTTGAGCCGCATGAGGGCGTTTTGAATCAGCTTTGGTGTGCGGCCGGAGCGAACAAAGAAGCATTGCGCAATCGAGGATATTACACGCCTGGGGGAGTAGATTCGACAGAAAAACTGACGGCGGAGGCTAGAGACGAAGATCTGGCGGGAAGGTTGTGGGAGTGGACGGAGAAAGTGCTCCTAAAAGTCTGAAGCTGTGGTTCGATGCATCGGTAGCACTTTGGGGATGGGGGGCATGTATCTCTTCCCAGCATTTGATCAGGCCAGCCTTCCCGTCCCCATCGACAGTGATGACTATCTCGTTAAACTCTTTAACCCACGATGTCCAACCCATACCGTCCAGTTCCAAAATGGTGACCGGTACTGAAAGCAAGAAGAAGGTCATACGATAGGTTAGTAGTCTCAGCGCCAGGCCTTCATTGTTCATGACATCCTCTGGACTCATCCTAGGGTACATTTGCTTTATGGCGTTCGCCCTCCACCCAAGCCAGTCTAGTTTCACAGTGTTGATGTGCGGGGCCCGCTCAGATACAGTAGGTGTATGGAGGTTCAGCTTCACGACCCTTATTCGGTGGCCGGGGCAACAGACGCTCGCTGTGTATTCGAGAAGAGCGGCAAAGCTAGGCTTATCGAGAAGAACATTGCTGAGCCGCTTCAGGAAGAGGGCCGGCTTGTCTCTGGTATCGCGCACGTTGATGGAAATGGAATCGATCGGCTCCGTGCTTCGAGCTGGACAGCAGGTCCATGTAGGCCATAGCTCTTTCCTGTTGACCATCATGACATCAAGAGAATACGCCTTCGGCAGCTGACGGAGACAAGTTTTGGTCTCCTGATGCAGTTGTCTGTTCGTGAGGAGCAGTCCATACGCACTATACTGCTGTGAGATGGGTAGCTGCAAGCAATTTGTCGCTATTGAGGCCTTGCGCGCGGCGTCATCTAACGTAGGACGACTAGGTGGCTCAGCGTGTGCACTGATGACAAGTTCGAGGATTATGTCGCGAAGTTCGCGCGGTAGAGATAGCAGATGGCGAGGCATGATGAGATGGACTGCGCGAACGATGGTTACGAAGGGAGAAGAGCCGGTCCAGCACGCGCGGGGACCTGAGCTAAGCCGAGGCGCTAAGCTACATCGATACAAGCCTCGCCAAAACCCTTGCAGGGTTGTTGTTCGCGGCTGCCCGTCTTCTCTCACGCACTCACTTTCGCTGTACAATACAGAAAGTCATCAGCATCTTTCACTTGACACTGCTGCCTGGAGCCTGCGCTAAAATGACGTCGTTGACGCTACTCTCGGCCCTGTCGCCTACCAAGGCTGTCGAGCTGAGGATCCTCACTTGCATAACTGTTTGATAGCGTCCAATGTACAGCTCCGTATCCAAAGCCCGCGGATACTTGCAGCTCTGAGAAAACCCACAAACAAAGGTCGCACCTACAGTCTCATCGCCAGCGACTCGCTGCTGCCAACAACATTCGCGATGTCTCGATTGGAAGCGCTTCCTCAGCACCTTCTCCGCGACATCCTCCGCTACTTGCTCCTCTCTGATCGTGTTCGCGGCCCTCCAAATCGCTATCTTATCGAAGACTATGACTTCCAAGTCGCCATCCTCCGTACAAACAAGGCCATTAACCAAGAAGCTGCCAACATCTTCTACCAGGACAACAAGTGGATCAAATTCCGCAATGGCTATGGAGACCCGATGGAGACCGCTTTGATTAACCACGAGACTCCCTACTTCAAGTTGAAGACGATGAAGTTCGAGAACCATGTCGCGGAAGTCGATGTCAAACCAAATGTCATAAGTCTACCGGTTTATGGTGGGAAGACGACGACGGGACTTCTCTTACTGCAAGACATTCCCAAGTTCGCTCGCGTTTTGCGCATTGTCGACTTCGCCAACTTCTTCGGCTATAACATCAAGTTCGCGCTTCACACGCCACCCGGTGGTGTCGGCAATCTGAGTAAGGAGGACCAAGAGCGCCTGCTCTTACCCATGGAACAAGGTGAGTCGACCACTTGCATATGTTGTACGATGAGAAGTAACTAACTCGATTCCTTCGTAGTCAAAGGTGTTGCTTTCCGACAGCAAGTCACGTTCACTTCTACATTTGATGCAACCCTTGTCCAACGCGTCAAGCAGACTATGACCCAGGGAGTCGCATGGCTGCGAGCCGGTGCTGCTGAGGTTTACGATCTCGCCTTATCGATGAAGCGCATGGGCGATATGGCTTCAAATATCGAAAACCGAGACATGGCTTTCGCGAAGTGGAACGACACGGTCATGTTTATCGACAGCACAATGAAGCAAAACGACATGATGGATACACGTCTGGAATCTGTATTCCGGTGCCGAATCTATGCGCTCCAGTGCATGGTTGATATCGAACGACAGCTACTCGACTTCACAGACCTGTCTACTCCGAAGAAGGGCCCCAAATTCGACCATATCTCAACGGTAGTGCAGATGGCGGAGAATGCGGAGGGTTTCAACGCGAAACTAGGATATGAGGCGGTTCCCACATCTGCTATCGCCCGCTTCTATCGCTTCTTGGGTATCGCCGAACTGGGCCTGGACCATCCCGTGAAAGCGGCCAAAGCCTTTGTCAAGTCCTACAAGATCATGTCTCTCTCTAAAACCAAGCAAGGTTATGAGACGGCGGCGGAGTGGAAGAAGCTCACTGCGACCCAACGCAAGGCAAAACTGGACTCTCTGTACCACGACCTCCCTAGCAACCCACACACCCTCTCAGGATTCAAGGCTTGGCAAGGTCCTCAAGTCGCATCTGAACACTGGGTCATGCGCAAACTGGGCTTCCAAGGCGAATTCCCGTACGCTGACAAGATAAGTGGTGTGATGGGAGTATGGCTGACGAACGAACCGCACCCCAACTCTTCGCGTCCAGGACCACGTACTGTACAGCTTGGAGCTGTGAAGCCGGAGGTACTGCAGAAGGTGGTGGACAAGCACCGTAAGGAAGCAGCACTGCCAATGACGCAAGGTACCGCCATGATTTGGGTCTCACTCGGACCCAACATGATAGGTCAAGAGAGTGTTTTGGACGATCCGCAGGCTGCAAGGAGTATGGAGAACATGTCACTCAACGGCCATGGAGGCTATCCGACTCAGTGAGTGCCGGGTCAATCACCTGTACTGTTCTATGTATGTGCACAGTCGGGGTGAGTGCTAGATGGGATAATGTAGTGAAAGAGGCTGGTATTGTTTGTGCGTGAGCTATCGTATCTATAGACACACTCTCCTTCACTTCCACTAGAGCATGCCCTATTGCTAGATACCCAAATGATATCTTTGAATCTGACAAACACCTTCTTGCCTCTCCAAACCACTTACATACTACCATCATCCC